TTTCCAGAAGACTCCGAAGGATCGCTAGAAATCTGGATGTATAGACAATACTTGAAGTCGTTGGTGGTATCAGCTTTGGTGAGCCGAGCTCCATGGCTTGCTAGATAAATGAGTTTGATGGCGCTTAGGAATAACTGAAGGAGGCAGAGCTGCAGTGGATAAGCGGTTGAAACTGTAGTATTGCGTGAGAAGGATGGTTGATGTTGAAGGAGGGCGATAATTGAGCGTGCTGAAGATAGATGGGAGGGGCTCTGCAAAGTTAGCGTGAAGGGATGTTTGAGCTGCGAATTATAGACAGTAGAGTTCAGAGTCGAGAGTGCCCCAGTATATTTCCTGGTTGAACTGCTGTAGACAACCTGCGGCTAAGTTTTTTGAGTATAGAACTGCTGAGATGAGAGGAGGGTGATGAGCTACTGCAGCTGGCGAGTAGGTGGTGTAGCTGGCTAAGTATATGGGCTGTAGATGTCAGGTTGAAAGGGTATTGATGGAGGTAGGTGAAAAAATCTAGACCAGTTTGAAATAGAATTGGAGGCTGAAAGAGTCCAGACTGCACCGCGTGAGGTAGGACTTCTGGACTGCAGAAGTAGCTATTGAGAATTATTAGGAAGCACGAGAACCGTATTGCTGTAAAACAACAGAAGGAGGGGTGGAAGAATGGCTGTTGGGATGAAAGGATGTTTTTTGAGTGGGGTTTTTGAGTAGTATTGAGGATGGGAGGTTATTGGTGGAGGGAGGTAAGGAGGGAAGGGAGAGAGGGAGGTGGAGAGAGAGGGTGGTACAGAGGGAGGTAGAGAGAGAGTGAGATAGGGAGTAATAGAGAGAGGGGAGAACAAGAAACTATTGAATTGTAGTATATTTTTATTTTATGCTAGGCCAGCATCTTAGGCTACAAATATAACATTAACATATGATAAAATTCTAAAACTTTCCTAATTTGATTGGATGTCATGAATTTAACCTTTTCTGGCACTACCTGGCTACAATTTTGCTCTGTGCACACTAAAGGAGGCACGTCTTTATATTTAGCCTGTAAGAAATATGTGCCTGGTTGAATGTTAGGTGTTGTATAATTAAACTAATAGTACATTTCAGCATTTTGTTTGCATACCCCACCTGTCACCTGGCGTGCCCCCGCGGGTACTCTTACCCCAGTTTGGGAACCACTGTTCTATGTGAATATCTGTTAGACTGTCATTTATTTCTGTGATCAAACTGAATTTTCAGCATCATTACTCCAG